ACCTAAGGATAACAATTCCCAAGATTTTTACATTTTTCCACAAAATTGGGCAGGCCATCATTGGGAAGTATTGTGGCATATCCTGATGTTTTTCCAGTAGAGCAGCATTCCTCATGCAGCTCGCATAGGAACATTCAGGGAATCATCATTTGTGATGTCTTCTTCTGACTCTTCATTTTGATACTGTTGCACATTTTTGTAAACTAAAATTTTCCTGAACAAATCTTTCTGTCTTCTGGGCCGACTCTGAGTGTGTCTTGTGTTCCATCTTCCATACAAGTTTATTCATATAAAAACATGACATAAAGCTGCCCATTATTGTTGTATCATGACATTTTATAGTGAATAGCAATAATATAGTGATATGTTGTTCATTAATTAATGTGATTATTCTTTGTTCACATATTCCAGCAACTGATTTTGAGATGTACACAGTATATATAACTATATGGACCATGTTTGAGGAAGATAGTAGATTTGTACAAGATGCTGGTTGGTTAGCCTGCAATCGTGCAAAGCCAGACCTTACAGTATAGTTTTGCACCCTGATTTTCAGGATCATAAAAACCAAAGAATATGCTTAATAGTAAGATAACCTCCAATTCCTTTTAGGTTAGGATTTTAAACAAGAAGATTGATTTTAACGATGTTCAATCCAGATGTGGTTCAAGAGATAACATCAATCATTCAGCAGGGGGAGGAAATGTAAGTAGAGTTAGTACCTTACATTGTTCTCCAGGTAACTGTGGAGAACCCATGCTATAAGAACTAGCTCTTTAATCCTCTACCAAGATTGCTTCTCTTCTTGCTAAAGCTTCACACATTAACTTGGTCTAGTAATGCATCAGCTTTGTGTGCTGAGTGGTATATCCCTTCCCCCCCAAAAAAATCAGAAAGTCTTAATTTCACTCAGAAGGACAAGAGCCAGGTTTTCTTCACAAAGCATCCTGTTCTACAAGCACTGATGTAATGACGTATTGCTGTGGTTCTTCTGAACTCCATCATTAATCAAAGTTTGAAAGCAAAATGGGGAAAAAAGTATTTTACAAGTCTTGAGTTTTGAATGATGTCAACAGAAAATCACCATTACTTGATAAAAATGTCAGGTGTATTGTTACTGATTCAAAGGTAAGAGAAATGGATTGATCACCCATTGGTCCTAATCTTACCAGATGGCATTCATAGCCACTGAACAATACATGTTAACTCCTTATAAGATGATTTCACTTCACAATAGGAGATGCATGACTCCTACATAGGGCTATCTTAGGAGTTATTTATCCAATTGTATGGTTTTACCCTTTCAACAAACTTATTCCAAGCAATCTAGTAAACACCTCTTAAATATTTTGACATTTTTGACATGTCAAAATTATAAGACAATATTTCCAATAATATTTCTCAGAAGCTAAGGAAGTTTATGAAATAACCTAGGAAGAGAAAATTGTCCTGAACAGAAAGTCGGGCAATGAAAATAAACATCCTTGATTATGTAAGGAAAATAGAAGCTTTAAAAGACACACTTCAACACACAGCACTGAGGCAAATCTTACCTTCATCTTTAAAAATAATCTCACTTTCCTGATTAATAACCTTACTTATTACTGAAAGAGATTTTTAAATGATTCCACTAATTTACTCTGTTTGCTGTATTAACCTGGATATCATTCCTTTCTTTTTCCCATTATTACTTTCATGTATTGTGCATTTTTCAAACTAGATACTTACCTTTTCTATTTTTGTCTTCTTCCTACATATATAAAATGCATATTTTTCTGTATCTATAGCTCTCTATAAACATACATATATTTTATATATTTTAAACAGGTGCAAATTGTAACCAAGAAGATAGACTTGAGTCATGTGACTTCTAAATGTGGTTCCCTGAAGAATATCCGTCATAGGCCAGGTAATGCTAAGATTTTCCAGAGGGGAAATGGAATTCTGTAAACTCCAGCATTTTGGTAAACTTTTACAGTTTCATTTCTAGGCACTCTGATTTCAAAATCATGTCTGGATTATGGGGGGAAACTGCATCCTCCATTTCCCTAATATCTGGTCTGTTGCCATTGCTACATGGCAGGGTAGGAGGAAGAAGAGAAGGAGGTCTCTAGCAAAGCCTATCTATCACCACAGCCACATAAATAAGGTGGGAAGAAGATGAACAGCACAAGAGAAACTCATAACAAAAAGCCTCGAGAGAGTAGATTGGTCATAAATACTTCTCAGTGCATTCTCTGAGGAATTTATGATTGTGAAACTTTTACACTGTTTCCTGAATTATGTCCTGCATTACATCATTGAATACATGGAACTAAATTAGAGAAAGGTTGACTACTGGTCAAATGTGTGCTGAGAAAATCATATAAACAATATACCTGGTAGGGATATTCACAAGTTGTTTTTTTTTTAAGGAAATTTCCCTTTTCTAGTAAAACCAGGTAATTGCAGATAAATCATTGGAATCAAATTTACCAATCCTTTTAAAATAGATAAACCAACATGAAGTAATTGGTTCTACATCTTCTAACACTAAAAACATACATATTGCATATATTTAGTATTGCAATGATTTAAACTGTAAATTATCCATCTATCTATCTATCTATCTATCTATCTATCTATCTATCTATCTATCTCTATATATCTATCTATCAATCAACGAATCATCTTATTTATATCATGGGGCACATGTAAGTAGTCTTAATGGTTTAGTTAAAGTTAAATAGTTAATAGTTAAAAAATATAGTACACAGATACCCCAAACCAATACCTGGCATTAACACCTCAGTGCTCTCCTGAAATACTCCATCTTCAGCTATTTCTGGAGAACAGTTAAAGTTGGACACAACTGAATCTATTTAGTATTTTCGTATTTATTTGATTTGTCAATCGCTTACAAGATACAGATATAAGAATAAATATAGTTTTGAATACATGAGATAGATACTTATAAGAAAAATAAAAATAGGACAGGGACGGTAGGCATGATTGGTGCGCTTATGCAGGCCTCTTTAGGAAGGGGGTGAGGTCAATAGTAGACAGTCTAAGGTTAAATCTCATGTAGGTAGCGTTCTGGGGGTGGGGGGGGATGCCTCTAGGCTCCTATCTATCCTCCCCAAAATGGAAGACAGTCAGCTGCTTCTCTTGGCAGAATTCAAGTGGCTGTGAATGGGAGAGAAGTGGCCCTGCACATCACCTGGAACCAAACTGTAAAGGCCTTTATATGTTAAAGCTGGCACTTTATACTGAGTTGGGAAGCTAAGAGGAATATGGGAAACAACCAAGGTTACAGACTGGTAACCAAAACAAAGAGTTGTTTGAACAGAGACATAAATATATACACACAGTCTATTCAGAATCATCATTTCCCAACAAGTTACTGGGACCACATCAAAACTGGAGATGTTGATACCCTGTTTAGTTTTCCAGTGTTAGTGGTGAATGACTCCCCAACCCTAGCAACTTGCATATATACATTCTTCTTGGAATAACTGAGAACACATCTAAGTTAAATAGTATGGGGTATATATACACACACACACCCCTTACTATTTAACTTAGATGTTTTCTCAGTCATTCCAAGAAAAATGGAGCTGATGTCTTTCCCAAAGTGATTAAGGGTAGAGTTAAAGGGACTCCCCCCCCCCGAAGTAAATAGATTACTATGTAGAGGTGGTTGATCCAAGGTAAGAAACCAGTGATTCAGAGTATTGAGGGGCACTAACGGAACTCCTGTTTGAAATTGCTTTTAAAGCAGCCACACTTTTTCCGGGAACCACAAAGGCAACTTTTTGTGTTAAAAACTGATGCAGTGCATAGCCTAACATCACCATTCTTTCATCTTGGCAGAGAACCTCTTTGAAACCTGGAATTATTGAAGACCAATAAAGAAACTGCATAATTTTATTTTCACAGTACAGAAAAATCATCTATTAGTGCAGCGGTTTGTTTACACAAACTCATTATTAATCTCTTGTATTTTAATGATAAAATTTAGATTATGATCGAAGTATAAAACTAACTATATTAAACTATATAGTTAGTTTTATACTTCGATCATAATCTAAATTTTATCATTAAAATGAGAATTTTGCTTTCTTAATTTCAGGGGTGGGGGTGGGGGAATCTGTTTCTCCTGAAAGTTACATTAGTTGCATTGCTAGCATTGTATATAAAACAACTTGTAGGAAGAATATCTTTCATAGCAGTAAAATACTAAAATATTCAAAGAAAAATTATTTTAAAAATGGCTATACTGCAGTTCTTTTAAAAGGAAGGACAGATGTTTGTCATGAGTGTTTCCCACTATTTTTTTCTGGGTGTTTTCCAAACAATGTTTAAATGGAACTAAGCATATGTTATCCAAAATCATTCCGAGCAAAGATCTTTCACTGGTGTCCTGGCCATCTGGGAGGTAATTGGCCAATTCACTGTTCCTGCTTTTTGTTAACAGAGAACAGCCTAGTCCAGGGGTTTCCAACCATGGCAACTTTAAGACTTGTGGACTTCAACTCCCAGAATTCCTCAGCCAGCTGTGCTTAAAGTTGCTAAGGTTGGAGACCCCTGGACTAGTCCAATCAGGATCATAGCAACCTAGTGTGGTTGCAAGGAGGTGTACTCCAAAAATACCCAGAAGCTGTAGAGGCAGTGGTGCAGAAGCACTTCAATTTTATGGTGGCTGAAGTTAAATGACATGCTGAAGTATGGCAAAGGTCACATAGTCTTAACCAAGCCATTGCTATAATACGTAGGTAAGGTTTTCCTTATTAACCACAATGAAACCCATGGCCTGGGATTAGAGTGCAGTAAATCAAACCACCAACTGATTTAGTGTGTTATACAAATTGTGAAAATTCACCAATTCCTATATATCTCAGATTCCATTTTCATGGCAGATATATCTCATTTTAGTTAATAATAGCCCTATTTTCCAGTCATAAGGCCCACTGCTATAAAACTTTTGTCTACAATTATGTGGAGTGTGTGTATATATTTATTTCTCTTTTGTCTTGTTCTCATCATATACTAAATGATTTTTTTTTCTGTTTGATGTGCATAATAATCAGTTACACAGTAGGTTTAAATACTATTTAAATCCTAGATCCAGAAGAACTGTGCTCTTTTAAAGTATTTTTCCTTCCCTCATAACTTATAGGAGGGGGTCGAGTGAAAATCGAAAGTGTGAAACTGGATTTTAAAGAAAAGGCCCAAGCCAAGGTTGGGTCACTTGATAATGCTCACCATGTGCCTGGAGGAGGTAATATCAAGGTAAGACATCAAGGGTTATAGACTTGACAGCTTGTCAATATATTAATTTAATGGATTATCTATTCTTTTATTTAATATTTTGGAGTTATTTAATATTCTGGAGTTCTTCAGAGTCCTACAGGTAAAAATGACAATGATTTACACATAGAGATTGCTACTACCTCATAGTGTCCCCCATGAGGCTTGAGTTAATGCTTAGCTCTTCCTTCAGAGGAGACTTGCAAGAGCAGGGAGATTCCCAAGGGTGAAAATCCCATCTTTATGCCATATCCAAGCTCCAGAGATTTCCTGCTTCCTCTCTGAAGTCAAGACTTTACACTGTTACCACTGGTTTATGTACAAAAACTTTCAGACTTTATCTTCATTGCATGTTTGATTTTGTTTCTGTCAACTGTCCCAATTGGCATATTCAAAAAAAGAAACTCCCAGCTCTTTAGGTTAACCAAGAGTAGCTTTATTGAAAAATCCATCTAGTCACGGCAGAAGCAAAGTCAGTTCTGGGATTTTTCCTGTGAAAACCTACATAGCTAACTCCCCTTTTCCGTTATGGCCCACCCACAGTTCATAGTTCACCAATAGAATTCAATTCTTTTGCTTTGGGAAAAGCTGTCTCCTTTGGTCAAAACGTTCTTAATTTATTTATTTTTATTTTTTATTTATTTGATTTGCCAATTGTTTACAAGATAATAAGTATAAGTGTATACATAGTTGTGAATACATGAAATGGGTACATATAAGAAAAATAAAAGAAGAATAAGAGAAACAATAGGACAGGGACGGTAGGCACGTTGGTGCGCTTATGCACGCCCCCTACAGACCTCTTAGGAAAGGGGTGAGGTCAATAGTAGACAGTCTAAGGTTAAAGTTTTTGGGGTTTGGGGAAGAAACTACAGAGTCGGGTAGAGTATTCCAGACATTGACCACTCTATTGCTGAAGTCGTATTTCCTGCAATCAAGTTTGGTGCGGTTAACTTTGAGTTTGTATCTATTGTGTGCTCTTGTGTTGTTATGGTTGAAGCTGAAGTATTCATTGACAGGTAGGACATTGCAATGTATGATTTTATATACCATGCTTAAATCAGACCGAAGACGGCGTAATTCAAGGTTTTCTAGTTCTAGAATTTCAAGTCTGGTGGCATAAGGTATTCTAAAACAAGTAGAGGAGTGGAGAACTCTTCTTGTGAAATATTTCTGGACTTTCTCAATTGTGCTAATATCAGATACGTAATGTGGGTTCCAGACTGATGAACTGTATTCGAGTATTGGTCTAGCAAATGTTTTGTATGCTCTGGTTAGTAGTGTGATATTACCAGAGAAAAAGCTACGTAGGATTAGGTTAACAACTCTTAATGCCTTTTTGGCTATGTAGTTGCAGTGGGCTCTAGCACTTAGATCATTAGAGGTGAGTATTCCAAGGTCCTTTACAGAGCTTGGGTCATCAACAAGATCTTGACTATTCAGCTTGTATTTTATTTTCTGATTTTTTTTGCCAATATGTAAGACAGAGCATTTATTTGTTGAGATTTGAAGTTGCCATTTGTTTGACCATTCTGATACATAGTCAAGATCTTTTTGAAGGGTAGCAGTATTGTCTGTGGTATTGAACAGCTTTACATCATCAGCGAAAAGAACGCAATTGCTCTTAATATGATCACAGAGGTCATTTATGTAGAGTATGAAGAGAGTTGGTCCTAGAACACTGCCTTGGGGGACACCACTATTGACAGGTACAGAATTTGATAGGACGCTCCCAATTTTGACCATTTGTTGTCTGTTTGCCAGGAATGCTTCTCTTATTTATTCAGTTGTCCAGAGATACCATAGGATTTTATTTTTAGGAGTAGTTTGTCGTGTACCACTGAATCAAAGGCTTTACAGAAGTCTATGTAGATTGCGTCTATTGCTTTGCCCTGGTCGAGTTGTGTCGTCCATATGTTTTTGCAGTGTAAGAGTTGCAGATTACAGGATAGTTTTTTTCTGAAACCAAATTGTTTATTGGAGAGTAGGTTGTTTGTCTCTACGTGGAGGATGATGGATTGGTTAATAATTGATTCCATGACTTTACAGGTGACGCAGCATAAGGAGATTGGTCTGTAATTTTCAACTAGGCTTGGGTCTCCCTTTTTGAAGATGGGGATGACTGTGGCTTGTGACCATAGGTTAGGCAAGGAGCTGGTCCTGAAAGATTTTTCAAAGATTATGCTTAGAGGTTTGGCTATGGCAGTGGATAGCTTTTTTAAGAAGTAGGCACATATTCCATCAGGTCCAATAGATAGAGATGGTTTTAGATTGTGTAGTGCTTTTTCAACATTGTCTTGGCCTTGTTAGATAACGTCTTTCTGGCAACAGACAGTTCACTTGTATTCCACAGCCTCCCTCCACCCTTAGGAATTCACACCCTCCCCTCACCCCATCACTGTTTGACAAAGCTGTGAGCAAAAGCAATAGGTACAGGCAACTATGGAGTCGAGTCAGGTTTGACAGTTTCTTTTTTGTTCCTGAAATCATTACAATTCTTTTTTGAATATTTCTATTTTTTTAAAAAAAAACATATGTTAAATACAGAATTTTAACAGAAATTGATTTACTTGCCCCTCTTAAATCTCCCCGGATGTGGAGGGGAACATTTTTACTTATTTATTTTTTATGTTCATATGAACCTCATTGCTTTTTTGATCTCTACAAAGCTGAACTATATGGTTCTCATTAACTACATTGTATTTGCTGGACTAACTGGAGTATTTGTTTTATGATTTAAACAAAAAAAGTTAAAATATTATTTAAATCAACGTTTCAATATTTTAAAAAGGAGTATACAGAATGCCCAAAGAATACAAATTATCTTTTTAAAAAAGTATTTTAGCCCAGGGAATCTGTCAGGAATGAATCTGTCGTTCAATTAATTTGGAAAGTCCTGATCAACAAAACTAAACTTATACTGCAACATTTCCCACTAGATACTTAGACATATCTTCATTTTCATTTAAATTTATTTAAAGAGAAATATGAAATGACTGTGGACAGTTCTGCAGTGGGAGATTTCTGGTGATGAAATTAGGACATCTTCATAAAGAGACTGGGCAAAGGACACAATTATAATCTGCTTTTAAAAGTTTGACCAGGAAAGATTGCCACCCAAGAAAATATTGAGAAAATTTTTCCAAGGAAAATAAAGTGAAATTGGTCTCAGGGGAGCTTCACACCTCTATAGTTCCTGCATTTTATTTTTTTACCTTTCTTCCTTGCACAGATTGACAGCCAGAAACTCAATTTCCGAGAGCATGCAAGGGCCCGTGTGGACCATGGCGCTGAAATCATCACCCAGTCTCCTGGCCGATCAAGTGTGGCTTCCCCTCGGAGGCTCAGCAACGTGTCCTCTTCCGGCAGTATCAACCTGCTTGAATCTCCTCAACTTGCCACCCTGGCTGAAGATGTTACTGCAGCCCTCGCTAAACAGGGCTTATGAATTTGCTTTGTTAGCAGTGTTTGAAGTTACAATATTTAGGCATGATTTCTTGCCAGGAATGGGCTCTGAGCAGGTGTTAACATTCATTCTTTACTATGTCTAAAATTAAGTCACATCCCAAGACTGTAGTAATCATAAAATAAAAACTGGGGGAAAGATCCATATAGATGCAGAAACTGGCCTGATTTCCAATTACAGCAGGAAGATTTTGGCTTTTCTATGGGTACAATTGCAGTATATTACATTGGACAATTATTGTTGCTCTGCTCTGTCTTGCATGGAGTATGTACTGTAATAACAATGCATTTTGACCTTCCATGTGCCTGAAGGCCATCCACTACTTTTTGAAGAGCCTTGTTCAATCCCTTAAGTTGCTTATTTGACCGGTTTGTTGATGGATGGAATTAAGAAGCATCTCCACTTGTAATTTATCAACAGGTTAATTTAAACAGGAGAGTCTGTGGACCATGCAGAAGGGCAAATATACTGATATCAACACTTCAGAAAGGGTGGGGTTATTTTATATACATGGGTAGAAGAAAGAGGTAATTAAGTTATTAATGTTGTGGAAGTTGGATGATTATGTCAGTGTATAGCTGATTACAATAAATTATTTAACTAATAATTAAGTAAGTAGCGGGGGAAAATCATGAGCTGTACTGGGGAAGCAACATTTTTTTCTTTTTTAAAACAGTTACCGAAATTAAGCTATGGAGTTATGTCAGATTAGAATATTAGTTAAGCATCTAGGTTTGTGTCTTCACTACTGGTTTCATGTCCTCTCCCATCTGTTTGATACAGATATATATATATATATATATATATATATATATATATATATATATATATATATATATATATATATCCATTTGTGATACCCCCTCATACTTGAATATTCTAATCCTTTATTCACAGTATCTGTGTCTCTTGCACCCTTTGGTGTTGCAATTTTAGGTCTGTAAAAGTAGATGTTAGCAGGGATATTATTTCCCTATTCAACCTTTTACAAATACAAAAAAAAAAAGATTGTTTAGCATGAAATTGCTTTCTGTAACATCTCAAAATGTAACCCTGTTTTAGTGCCAGATGCGAGTCTCTTCTGTGATACTGGAAAACGTCTTCTTTCTTTCTACCTATCTTTGTTTTCTTTGCCATTACTGATTTTATGTCTTACTTATCTTTCCTCCTTTCTTCCTGTTTTCCTGCCTTCCTGCCATCCCTCTCTCTCCAAAACTCTAGTTTTGAATTCAATATTTTAAAAATATCATTTAGAATAATGATTTTTCCTATGTTAAAAAACACTGAAGTACAAGTGATATTTTTAAATTATTCATTTTTTCTTTTGCTAAAGTTGAAATTCCAAGAAACAACAAGGAGTCTTCTCAGAAGTTATTCTATTTCTACAAATTTCATCTTTGCATTGATGTACTTGGACACCTCAGTAGAACAAGGCTCTGGAGAGTTGCATTCATTACATATATTGATTCCTGATATGTAAGCTCCCTAGGTAGGATAACCAAGATGATGGACTGATAAACTTCAGAAACAATATAAAAAGTATATGACAGTGTTTCTAATAAGAGAAAAGGCACTTAACTTGGAGTGTATGGGATTTCCACCATTACTACATGGAAATTAAAAAGATACGCAAGATGGTCTGGTAATGTGATGCATAAGTGGACCACCGTCTACTCATGTAATATATGCTAGTTTTGACTATGTGATAATTGTTCCCTATTTTACCCTGCAGTTTTATGGCATTTTCCTTAAAATCACCTATATTACATTTGCATGTTCTCAAGCTGACCTGTATGTAAATGGTTCATTAGGATGGCTTTGTGTGTTGGAAGCTGTTGGACAAGGGCTACCTCTTAAACATTTTAATTTACCTAGTGTGTCTCAAGAATGATGCTTCAATTATTTTCAAAGAAAAACATCAACAATGCAAACAAACAAGAGGCTCATAAAAGCTAACAAATTTATCACTGCATACAATCTCATAAGATGCATGGAGCTGGCTCTCATTAGATGAATTTATTAGGTGCACAAATGTGATTCTGTGCACTTCTCTGGAATTGTTTTGTAATAGCTATAGGATTAAATTGGATCCTAATTTTAAAATAGAGCCTTTAATGTCAAGCTGTTATTTGTAAATGAATGGAAACAAGTATACCTGTGTACTTGTTCAGATAATATGAGGATAGACTAATGCATAAATAGCCTGGTAGGTTATATCTTAGAAGCTGCCTCATGTTAAGATCCTACTGCTTATAATGCAGTCATGTAGGCTTTTTCTTTTAAATTTAGCCTGCAGTCAAGAGGACTGTTTTGGTCTGTGATTGCTATGATATTTGGAATAACTCTACGAAGTTTAAACACAATATTGATTACAGATGCAAGAATACCCCTGCTGGATCAGAACAAGAGAGCCAATCTTGCTGTGGGCTCTATGCCGCTGCTTTAAAAAAAAGTCAAAAGTCAAAAACAGCAGTATTTTTAATGAAATGTTGTCACTCGGACTCTGTGCTGTGGTTCTTGCAGAAGCCTCTGAGTTTTTATGTCTTTTTTCAATCTTGGAGAAAAGAGGATCCAAGGCTCAACTGAGCCTGAGGTGGACAATGCTAAGTGTCAGCCAGTCAGAACAGTGTTTAATCTGTGACTATTTTGTAATCTGCTTTTTTGAGATATAAACACATTCTAGATGATAAAGTTGCTTACCAAGCATACGTGTCCAAAGTCGTTAATTCCATGTTGCAGTTTTATCTTATCTTGAAGCTAAGTCCTTGTAATCATATTTGTCTTTCCATAGAAAGAATAGCAGAAGTTGAGGAACTTATACAAGTTGGAGAGCCAAAAGGGGACCATGCTATAATATAAGAAATGCATGTACTATGTTACAGGACTCTAGATTTTTACTGAGGACAATAGCGGGCATTGCCTAGTTAGTAATCCCACTGAAACTTTAACTGCCAACCATAGGCTTGATTTAAAAACTAATGACACAATGTAAGCTCTTTAAGGGACATGGTCACACAAAACATTGGATCATCTCTGCAGAAATTCTTTGTTTGTACCCTATTAAAAAATAATTAAAAGTTGTTAAGGCATGACACAATAACTTTGACTAGTAAGCTCTGTGGTCAAGTATAATAATCTATTTAGCAATTCACAGCAAATTTGAGGGAAAAGTCTATAACCAAAACAATGTATTAAAGCTAACCCATAACAAGGCAGGATCCCCTCTCTCTTCTGCCTACAATACTGTAATGTTGTATGAACCTAGATACTGAGGCAGTGATATGCTGCAGCTGGCGTACCAGTTTGCCAGAATTGATCATTAAATTTTCTGGAATTTTGCAAGCCAGATAAGAGGAGAGTAGCACTGCAATGCCTAATACACTGATCAGCTGTTTGGTAGCAGCTAACAAAGCCAGTTGTCACACATTGATGAGCTTCTCACTACATAAAGGGTACAGAAAAGGGTGTGGAAGCTGTTCCTATCAACTCTGGCCCAAGCCAGCAGTAACCATGCTTACTGAATGGTACATGTGTAAATGTGTGTGTGTGTACCTGTGCACACATACACACACCCTACATGATGTACATTTATAATTACAACTTCCCCTTCTTCTGGCTATTTGCAAATGAATCTCTTTGCCAAGAGAATATGCAAGAAGGACCAATATGTATTGTCACAACAGACATACTAGGGGTTTTTCTATTTTACTAGGCACTAAAATTCCTTCCAAATATATTAAGAGTGAAATAGTAGACCAAATTATCAGATAAATGCAGGCTTGGGATTTATGATGGACATCTGAATGCAACACAACACATACTGAATACAGTATTGCTGCTCCCTAGAATGGGGGAAATGGGAGTTGCTGGGCCTCAAGAAGACTACTGTGCAAAGTTGGCTGGTCATCAACAGCTTCTTTTTTTTATCTAAACAATTCTTGAAATGGTTACTGGGAAAAAAATAGCAAATTGCTTCTATATTGTTGGGGGGGGGAACCCCAGGAAATCAGCATCAGCACAATTTAGAGGAGACTGTATTGATCACTACTAATAAAATAATCAAGCAAAGTTCCTTATATAAAAACGATTATTTTGCATATCTGGTAAGGACAAATCTAGCAATCACTTCAACTTTAGCAAAGAGAAATACAAAATAATTTTCAGAGTGCTGGGATTTTTCCTTTCTCTCTCTTTCTCTTTTAAGATATAGTGTAAGCTGTGAGAAAGCCTGTGGAATTCTTTTGTTTCTGGCAATTCTAGAGCCTGTTATCATAAAAGAGGCATTTCTTGAATGACTGGTGGTAGGTAGTTCATGTTTTTCAATCCAACTTGCAGTTGTATTTGTTGCTGTATAGTGATTGTTTTGCAAAATAAAATCGCTTGTCATCAACTTGCTTGCATTCCAAGTTTCTGTTTCTCCATTATGTCAGAGTTTTCAGCAATCCAACCAGCACACAAATAATAAATTCAGCAGGATTCATTTATAGAAGAAACCTCTTTTTATACAATAATACACTGCTCAAAAAAATAAAGGGAACACTTAAACAACACAATGTAACTCCAAGTCAATCACACTTCTGTGAATTCAAACTGTCCACTTAGGTAGTAACACTGATTGACAATCAATTTCACATGCTGTTGTGCAAATGGAATAGACAACAGGTGGAAAGCATAGGCAGTTAGCAAGACATCCCCAATAAAGGAGTGGTTCTGCAGGTGGTGACCACAGACCACTTCTCAGTTCCTATGCTTTCTGGCTGATGGTTTGGTCACTTTTGAATGCTGGCAGTGTTTTCACTCTAGTCGTAGCATGAGACAGAGTGTACAACCCACACAAGTGGCTCAGGTAGTGCAGCTCATCCAGGATGGCACATCAATGTGAGCTGTGGCAAGAAGGTTTGCTGGGTCTGTCAGCGTAGTGTCCAGAGCATGGAGGCGCTACTAGGAGACAGACCAGTACATCAGGATATGTGGAGGAGGCT